TTGCTTCACCTAATTGTTGATATTATATAATTTAGTGTAATTCATACGGTAAAATATTAAATATTTATGCCTATAACATAACGCATAGTATTAGGGGGAGAGGAGGATGGGATCCCACAGCTTAAACTCAAAGGTCCCTAAGGCTGTGTTTGGTATAACTAGTGAGAAGTTCTTTTGAATTTCAAAAGTTTCAATTGTATTAAACACAATAATTTGTAAAAAATATTACAATTTTTTATAAGTTAGTATTTTGTCTATTTTGTTGCAAATCTCAAGAGTATTGAATTAGTGCTTCTACAAGAGCTTCTCATTTGAATTTTAATGAAATTAATATATTTTTTTTATTTTTTATTTTTTTTATTTAAAAAAACAACACTTTTACAATAATTTTTTTCTAATAAAACTTTTAAGCTCCAACCGTACTAAACGAGCACTAACTCAGTGTTCCACTAACCCATTGTTTTATTTGTTCTTGTATATCTGACATGAGGTCAGGGTTGAGAGCCTTATTCCTATAAGAGTAGCGATGGAGGGGACGAAATTGGGGGATGACAAGTGATGGGAGAATTCATGCATGTGGTGCAATTACTAATTTGACTCCTCCCATCACTTGTCGTCCTCCAATTTCGTCCCCCTGTTTCGTCCCCTCTATCATTACTCTTCCTATAAACTACGATTCATAGGTTTAGAATGAACTAATCTCGTTGGCTTAATAGTTCAATATCACAGCCAAGTTTGGAGGTTTATTCTCCTTTGCTGTAAGTCTGGAACAAATTACACTTGTCTCGTGTTGTCTGAGATAAGCTTAGGAGATTAGTATCAGTTTGGTGACATTGGCCATTTGATAGGGTGGGTGTTTGTTTTAGAGTTTAGAAAATAGTCATGAGTTATTGATTTTAATTAAATGAATTATATATTTAAGATTATACATAATAATTATTATCAATTATTAAATATTAACTATTAATTATTAACTATATCAAAACAATTAATTCAAATTACACCCATAAAAGCTCTCCCATCAATAGAAAAAGCCCCTTACCATTTAATTATTAGTGTTTTATAATTTAGATATCTTGTTATATATATATATATAAATGATTAGTGCATATTAATTCTAACTTAATGCATTTTTTGATACTCATCTAATTTAGTTATTAAAATATAATATAAATATAACTAATTTAATCAGTTCTTGTATGTTGTATATTTAAATTTATTTATTTTTAATTTCATATAAAAAAATAATAATTTTTAATAAATATATTATACAACGTGTTAAATAAAAAAGTATATTAATTTTTTATATTAATTAATATTTCTTTTTACTCAAACTCAGTCCCATCATCAGATGATATACCTACTTGTATTAATATTTCTTTTTACTAAGTCTTGGGCAGGAAAGTTTCTGGTAATCTTGTGTGTTTGTAATTAGAAAAAAGGCAGAGAATTCCTGGATAAAAAAACAAGTAAAGAAAGAAAGTCAACTTATAAAGGATGGATAATCTGTGGGGATTACTTTGCTGATGATGGTCTTAGAATGGTATGCATGCCCATGAATATATTATAATTTCTATTGAAAATAAATTTACAAATAAAACATCATCTTAGGTAGTGCAAGACCAGAAATACGTACCTTACCTTAATTTGAACGGTTTAGCAAAATTTCAACAATTTATTTAGTGTTAATTTCAGGTTATGTCCTTTGTACTTTAACATATATATACATATCAGATACTGGTTGTGTACACGCCAGGCAATCACGCTTATCTAGTATGTTAATTAATTTGTAAATCTGATAATTGTTTGATGGATTTAGCCCACGTATTAATGTGACAAAAGATTAGTCATAGAAATCTAATGTTTTTTAGATGTGCAAGTGGAAGGAAAGGGGAAGCAACGAGGAAAGCACACAGTAAAGACCGCCCCCGAAAGCAGTTCTGGGTTGCGTGCCGTTTCTGGAGTTAGAATGGAAGCGCATTTCATGAAGTTGGTGTGCAGGGAAGGGGGGGAAAAGAAGAGAAAGAAAAGATGGGTAGTGATAATGTGAATTATTGAAAGTGAGGGGACGGTGGAGAAAGATGTATTAGGAACTTTTCTTTTCCCAAAAAAAAAAAAAAGAGACTTGGGTCGTTTTGACTGATTCTGTTTCTTTCAACTTTCATGTGGGCCCATGAAATTCTGCTTCAAAAGAGTTCAAATGGCCTGAGACTGAGGCCCAACTCGTGATTCATGCAGCTGTTGGGCCATAAGTACTTTCCACCCTGGGCCCATGTGAAAACTCCAAACTCACAGCGCAAGGGACCTGTCGTCTTCTTCTTTAACTTTCCTTTTTCCATTTTTTTTTCTTTTTTTAGAAAGACATTGTTTGATTGGAAACTAAAAATAATAACGGGAAAATCAATCACTTAAATAGTTTAATAATAATTTTTTGAATAAAAATAAGAAATTTGAATTCGAATTATATGAAATGTAAATAAAAGAATATTATTTTTCATTATACAAATTAAAATAAAAAATAATAATAAGAGAGAAAAAGAAATCTATTTCCCCTCATAAAGGGGTGATTTTACATATATATATATATATAATAATAATGTTATGTAGTCTAAGTTACATAATTTAAATTATTAAATACTTGTAAATATTTACAGTGCTTTTCTCATTTACCATTCATATCTTGCAATATGATAACTTCACTTTTTATTTTTTATTTTTTTAAAAAAACTGTATTTTGAAATAGATTTGCCCACATTTAACTCAAGGTGTTCATAATCTAAGATAAGTATTTGATTCAGTGCCTCCTTTTTGTTGTGAATAAAATGGTGTCACCTTTATTTTGATTAGTCCATTCACTCCCTGCCTAACAGCACACACCATGCTAAAACACAGTCATTGCTAATTATGCTAAATCATATCCATCATACAATCCCCACTCGAACCAACCCTCATCCTTCCTTCCCCAATTTACCTTTTCTTCCAATCTAAGCCTTCCCCATCTCCGCCCCCTTCAACTTTTTTTTATAGGTCATCCCCAAAACCCCCACCTCACATCTCTGCTCAAAACAATGACTTCCGTTTGCATATCCAACTGCATCAACGACGCCAGGGACCCCCGGGTTCCGGTTAGAGCCACCTACGTTAACCTCTACAAGTGGCCGGAGTCCGACGCGGAGTTCGTCCGGTCGGTGAGTTCTAGAATGCAGCAGCAGCCAGGGGTGGTAAGTTTGCATTGCAATTACTATTGTCACCCTAGGGTGGTGGACAGCATCTCCTGCCGCCAGATGTACCTCCGGAGCTACACTTTTTCGAGGAAAGAGACGGTGCCGGAGAAGACTCAGAAGTGTTTTGGAAGGGTGAAGGGGAAGGTAACGGATCAAGGGAAGAAGAAACAATGGAGAGGAATGGGGCTGAGAAGGACGAAGGAATCGTCTTGCTCTGCCTTGTTTAGGTTCTTTCATAGGCTTCTCACTTGCTCTGCTAGTGTAGATGTTGTCGATCGGAAATAATGTTTTCTTTCTCTCTTTTTTTGGGAATTTAATTTGTTTTTTTAATCTGCTTTTATTTATGTTTAAGAAATGGTGTTGGGTTCTGTTTTCTTTTTCCCTTTTTTTTTTTTGTGTGTGTGTAAAATTACAGCATTTTCTCTGTTTCCTTATTCTGTGTCTGATCTTCAAAGTATCATTCTTCAGCAAATTATGGTTAATCAAGTTCCCAGATCATATCTTATCCATTTATGTTAGCAGACAAGAAAAACGAGAGTCTGAGTTTGAATTTGTGAATCCAGAATGTTCTCCACTAAAACAAATAGTAGTCACTTACAGGTTGGAAGTTGAATTCCTTATTCATGAAAACCAAAAAAAAAGGTCCTAATACAGTTTGATTGTACCAAGTCTACAATACTTATCATTGGATAAACACACGCTTATTTAATAATTTTTATTTTACAGTTTGATATAATTTAAATTGTAAATAAAGAATTTTAATTTAAATTTATCACATGTAATTTCTTTTACTCTACAAATGGAGAAGTGAGTGGAATGATCTAAGGTATGTGAGCCATAATCCAGTGTCATTTTTAAAAGAGCCCTAGTTTTCTTTATTCAAAGAATCAAAATTAATATTCATGAAATTTTGACTAGAAAAAGGGTATTTTCTGTTGAAAAGTTAAAGCAGTAGTTGAGCTTAATTGATATAATCCTGAATCCAAGTCGTTTGGAAATCCTCTTGACTTGGTCGGCGTCTATATGATGGACGGTCTAAATTGGTTGTATGTGGGGTATCTGCTATGTAACGAAAGTGACACAGGCTACATAAATTAGGTGAAAGGACCATGTGGAACAATGTTAGCTGTTAGTTTGCTGGTGTTTTTTTCTGCTTTGGATTCTCTTTTTACAGCTAAAAAACAAAGTTTTATTCCATCTATGATCTGAACATACCGTCCATACCCTGAAGAAAAAAGAATATAAGCTCTGTCTCTGGTTAGGTACAAGAGTAGAATACTGATGGTAAAAGTCATCTATTGGGAATGAGTTATTGTAAATATTAATATTGTTAAAATCACTTAAATTTTGATTCTTTTAAAATAGTGTTTGAAAATATTAATTTATTAATTGATTTTAATTTAATTATTAACTGAAAAATATTTCTATCAATTATTAATTAATATTTATAATTATTAATTAAATTAAATTAAGTCAATATTTTAAAGATAATATTTTACAATTTAGGTGGCCTTAACTATCCCCCATCTGGTGCGGCAGACATCCTTTCTGACAAAAAATTCTGACAAATCTTGCTTTCTTTACACATAGATGCCCAACTGAGTCCATTGAGAGGGAGATTCATTTCAAAGTTCGAACATGCACTAAAGGTTAATCTAGAGTCGGAACGACGAGATTTTCGATTCATTTTGCTCACTTTGAGCTTTTGTTAAAGTGTGATTTAAGTAGAACATTGATATTGGGAGTAAAGTAAAGAGAGTTAAGAGTGTATTTTGTCAAAACTGGCTTGAGTTTTTGTGGAATTCATTTTGAGAAATGATGAGCCTCTTTTGAGTATGGTAATTATGTTATGTTGAAGAATGTTACGTATTCATGGAAGTGGTGGGTGCAAAAGGAGAAGGGAGAGGGCATGATGGATGGCAGACTCTGGGCTCTGAAAGAGAGATACAATGATAGCAGTCACCAAACCAATTCGACGACTCCTCATACTTGCACTCTACGGTGCAAAATAACAATTCTACTACTATAACTTTTCTCATACCCTTCTAGAAAAATGAAAGTGCCAAATCATTCTCGACCCTTTTTCCCTTTGAAGAGCTTAAGAACACTCTTGAATTTACGAGACTGCCATGAGATTCTGCATTATCATTTTCATATTTGTTCCCACTCATAGCATATATTGTGCAACCAAATGAAAAAGAGATAAATAAATAAATAAATAACTGTGGCATGCATATAAATGGAAGAGATTGAGTTTCTTCAGTCCAGACTGCACAAAAGTGCAGTCTGAATTATGAATCTTTTTCATAGCCTGGACTGAAAAACATATTTCTCCAAATGAAAATGACAAAAAAAAAAAAAAAAGGATCCCTGTTTTTTTTCCTGCTATTGTTTTGGAGTATTTGGTTTCCAGGCAACATGCTGCCCTCCTGATAACAATAGCCTTGACCCACTTCAGCCCAGGGAAAAAAGGCCTACCCAAAGCCTCACTCTAATTTGGTCTGGCGGGCTCCCCACCTTAGATCCAATGGTAAATATGATTCTGCGCACACAATTCACAGACTGAGTCCGGGTGCAGGAATCGTGAAGGTATCTACACGGAAGCTCACTCCAAAAATATGGGTTTCCCAAATAGTGTCCTGGCAGTATTATTGTAGCTAATTAAGATAGAACTGTTGGTAACCCTCGATAAGCATTAACAATGCAAAGGCTTTGATTGGCTGCAATACTGCTGAGGAAAGAGTTAGATAAAGAATTTCAAGTGGTTTCGAATGGCTAGCTGCTTCAGCCTTTAGGGAGGCAAATCAATGTGCAAATGCCTTGGCAAAGCAAGGTGCATGCTCGTAGAAAGCTTTTGTCACCTACTTCATCCCCCAACGCTCTCTTTTATTTGTTGGAGCATGATAGAACACATGGCTTAATATAATCTAACATACATCCAGCATCTAATCTTTCCTTTCAAAAGGACATTTGAAACTCATTTACTTATATTTTCACAGAATTTGTCAATCTGCGCTACTTTACAATCAATCCTACAACGCATCCAAAAGGAAGAACAAATTCACCAATCACAACCTAGGCCAAAGAATAGTATTAGAAAAAATGAAAACAATAAAAGGACTGCATTCTCCACAATACATCGTATTATTGTTATTTGTGTTTGTAAGATGCATTGATATAGCCACCACCATAATTTAATCTACAACCACAAGGAAGCAGCCTTCAATGCCCGTCAAACACTTGTATTGTGCCTGGAGTAATCTCCAGTAATTGTAGAAAGTATGTTACAAGTTAAACATGGAGAAAATATACAACAATGGATGCAAAACCTATGTTTATCTAAATCTCTAATGAGAACCAAAAGGATAGTGGATTCCTAAAAGAAACTAATAATTGGAAAGATTTATATGAGAAGAACAAAAAGGTGAAAGTGAATGGGAAGACTAGTTAGCACAAACAACAAAAGACTACAATGTAGAACAAGAAATGGGATATACTTTGATCCTAACATTGCTTATATGGTACAAACAAGGAGCTACATTCCAAGAATCAGCAAAAGAACCAGTTCCTAGAAGCACATCCTTTCTGTTTACTGGCTTGGAATTGGTCATTTTGGAAATGATATTTTACATATTGAAGAAACATTGTGAACAATCAGATGTCTTGCACTTATATACTAATGAACCACACAAAATAACATGCAAGGCACAACAGTTAATGACATCTTCAACATTGAATCGACTAGTTTGGCACCCAACAAAATGAACTGATTATGAAAAAGACAAACATAACTTACAAGATGCACTGTATGGGTTGGAGCTAACTGGAAGAAGTGAATAAAGAAAGCAAATAGGCAATCAATTATTTCAACAGAGGGGCATAGAATTAGATCTAGATCAACTAGTCAATAACACTCATTCAATGGATCCACTGTGAATTTTCTGTCCATATATCGGCCGTTTGTTTAAACAAAATTCAACCCAGAAATACAATGCCACTTCACTACAGTTGCATAAAAAGCTTCTCACAATCTATTGAGTCCTCTTAAGATTTCTACCATCAAACACTCCATCACCTAACTCCTTAGAACCCCAATAGGTTATCCTCCCAATATTTAAAAACCATGTAATCTAGAAGAGGATGTAAGAATCAATCTATTCTTTGCTTGATTTGGCTCAAACAACTACCCTTAGTTTATTATATTTCACAGGAACTCACTCCACTTTCTCCTCTTAAAATCAATACCACAAACACCATTTCTATTAAAAATTAGCAAATGAAGGAACAAGTGTCGTATTGTGAAATACCACATCTATAATTGTCATCAGGGGAACTTGAGCAACACAATACATTAGCATAGTGAAGATCAAAACATCTACTGCTCCATAACAAGTCGATGTGGATGATAATTTCTAGCATCATGAACCCATCCTCATCTCAATATTTACGAACCAGCCCATTGGGCCAATTGGTTCACCAACCAAGCCTAAGAGCTTGGGCTCAAGTAGGTTGGGAGTTCTACTCCCACCAATTACTTGGATAAAATTCCCCCCTCCCCAAATTTCCCCATGTTTAAAAATATATATATATATATATATTTACAAACTATCCTTATAATTTTACCAAGACATAGAAACAATAAGAACTAAAGAAAGGTCATTGATGACAGAAATTTTTAATCACCAGTCATGCAGAGAAGTAAAAATCCTCAGCAGCTTATGCACAAAACTTAAGGGTAAATGAAGATGGAAAATTTGTACCAAGAGATAACTGTATAATGCAAAAGTGATTGTGTGATTTCATACGTGAGAATTCCTATTGCATGGTAGGAGAATCACAAGAAGGCATATCAAAGTTTTGATAAAAGGAAAATAAACCGGAAAAAAGAAAGGATAAAACACTAAAAACAGTCAGCAGCCCTGACATAGCATTAGTATCTGTAAATCCACTAAACAAACATGCAAACTATACCCATTTGCAGCAAACTAATTCGATGGAGTACTCTTCAGTGCCCATTTTCAAAGCTCAAATTCTTCATCCCTAAGAGCCAGCTCTGCAGCCTCCTCTTCCTCTTCATCAAGAACAAAGTACTCATTCTTTTCTACTGGCCTAAACATATAAAACATCACTATATAGAATGCAAGGCTTGCAGTCTCCTCGGCAGCATTGCTCACCCACTGGTACTTATAAGCTGCAATTGTTTTGAGTGCAAACACCACAATTCTTGTAAAATACAAGTAGCCAATCACCACAATGTAGAACTGCCGGAATAGTGTTAGTTTGGCCAAGTTCCTCGCCGCCTTCCCATCTGTCTTCGAGGTCTCCCTAAGGGACCGAATTGACCAGACAATTGGGAAAATGATGGCGCAGCAACAGACAACATCCACCACCAAGAACACCTGGTTCCATGTTGCCCAGTCCTTAATAAAGGGTCCAGTCTCGCCGATCACGACAGACGCAATGTTAGCTAACACCTGAAGAGGAATCACAATCATCAACACCTTCTTCTCCCTCTCTTGCAGAAACGGCTTCAAAAAGGACCATCCCGTTCCGATCAACACAATCACCGTAAAAAGCAGCACAACACGGATGAATTGGAAAATGTAAAAGAGAACATCCCATCCATGAGGTGTCCCGGTGACCTTCACGTAATGCTTATCCTCTGCGGCACAAATCAAATTCAACGCCTTGAACAGTAGCAACCCAGCCATCAACAAATGGATCCGGTGGACTGAGCGCTTGTTGGTGTAACAGACGTAGATCCAATAACCAAAGGCGGCAAGGTACAAGATAGAGAAGAAGGCATAAAGAGAAGGGAGCTGGGTAACGCCAGCGGAGAGGAAATCTTTAAAGCGATTGCGGTCGAGGTTGTATACTTCCGTCCGAACGTTCATGGAAACAAGGGTCTCAGGGGCGCAGTTGGCAAAGAAGAGAGAGTATTCATTGGGGGAGGTGACGGGGTACGATCCGTTGAAGCGGGAAGCGGGAGGTGGGGAGAGGTCACGGAAGGTGAAGAGTTTGGTGATGTAGTTAGATTCCAGGACGCATAAGTGAGGGTTTTGTTGGATCTCGATGAGTACCTGGAGAAGAGACTCCTCCGACAGGAGGAAGAAGCCGAGGTGAGAAGGATCGAGGTTGGGAGGGCTAATAGAGGAGGAGACGGAGACGGAGACGGAATCCACAGAGATTTCAACATGGCCAAAGTGCGTGAACCCGAATTTCTCGAAAAGGATCATCGGACGGGAGTCCGAATTGATCCTTAGGGTTTTGATCTCGGCCGTGGACAGAGAAAGGAAAGAGAGGAGAAGCATGAGGATGAACGCCGTTCTCGTCATTTTTTTGGAAGCGACGGCGGTGCCGGTGGTGGAAGGGGAGGAAGAGGGGAAGTAATGGCTTCGCGACGGAAAATTGCATTGGAATTTGGGCGATCTATTTTTGACTACTCGCCTGCGAAATTGGGTGGAGAAAACGACGCCGTTTTAGTTATCAGAAACAATGAGCTGAGGTTTGGTAATTTCTAAATGGATCAATGAATTAGATCAAGTTCAATTCCCGATGGGCCCAAAATAGACTAGCCCAATCCAAAATTAAACCTGGTTTTTTTTTTTTTGTTAAGGGTAGTTTAGTCTTTTTGTTGTGGAATAGAGTCCCCACGTCTTTTTTTTTTGGATGTTAACCATACAACAGTAACAACACACCACGGAGAAATAACTCTTTCATTTTAAAAAACTTTAATTTATAAATTTATTATAATATTATAATTCACATAAAATTATAAAATTATAATTATAATGTAATATTAAATAAATAAAAATATAATATTATAAATAAATTTTTAAATAAAAAGAATTTATTATCTAATTACCTATCATATTATAGATTTATAATATTAATTAGTATCTGTTTACACCTAAAATAAACCAATAGAGTAAGGCCACGTGTCAAGGTAAAGCCCAATTATCAAGAAAATCAATGGGCTGGATTTGGGCTGGATTGGCTTACAATTTAACGGTCCAGACGGATTTCCAAGGATGTTGGATCCTAGGTGGCAGAAGATAAGATAGGATTTGATAGTTTGGGTTTGATTTAAAATGGAAAATTGAGGATTTTTAGGTAGTTATCTTAAGGTTGTTGGAGATAAGGTTAAATAAAAATTGGATAACTGTCAAGTAACTGTCAAGTAACTGCCAGACTTGCAACCCCACTACCAGATCATGGAGGAACAGTACCGGAAATCATGGAGGGAGGGAGACAGCATCGAAGCAAAGAAAAACCAGAAGTGGGGATCAATTACCGGCCTGCCCAACACACACACAGACTGGCCAGAGCATGTTTTTCAGCTTTCAGACTGCATTTTCCAGATTTCAGCAATAGTTTCTAGATTTCCCAGACTTTCCAGATTAGTTCATAGCCTTAGCCTAGGTTTGTTCATCTTTGTTCATATTTCTTTCCGCAAATTCCAGTTTAGATTTATTTTTAAGTATTTGGAAGCAACTTAGCCTTCAAAACAGGTCTGCCCTTTTGATCCGGTTAGTTCTTCTTCCTTCTATGGATTTAGTTATGTTATTTGTTCATGTAAATAGGATGAACATTTTCTACCTTTGTTCTTTTGTTTCTGCATAATATCCAGACATGCAGTTTGTTTCATTTTCATTTCCAGAGTTAAATTTATAAGTTTCCAGACTTTAATCATTTCATAGTTTCTTCTTCAATTTTAGTTGTCATTATGGGCTGCGTAGTTGAAATCATTGTCTGTTATTTTACTTATTCTGTTGTCTGCGAATTTAATATTTATGGCATGTTATTTTCTGTTAATTGTTTTATATTAGTTTAATTGGTTGTGAAGTCCTTGGAGGTTTCCAAGGCAATTAGTAACCCATTTTGCAGAGCTCTACCTTCTGTTTTGCAACATCGTCTGGGGGCGCAATTGATTTCAGAGACGTTCTTTCCAGCCATCCCATTGGAGGTCGAACGCTGGAAAGGAGAAGGGTCGTCTGGAAAATCCTATTTTCTTGTTTTTAGACAAAGCAAGTGGCACGCCTAACATCCAACTCACGTGGTAAAAGCCGGCTAAGGATTTTTGAGGAAACAGTATCTATATCATCTTCAATAACTCTTATAGAATAATAATAAATGAAATTAAAATTTTGAAATTAAAATTTAGACCAATGATTTAGCATAAGAAATGTTATTTTAAAAAATAAATTTTATATTATTTAATAATTAATTTTTTTATTATTTTAAAATTTATAATATTTTACATATCAATTAATTTAATAATATAACTTATACAAAATCAATAATCTTAAATTATACCAATTATTTGTTAATTCAAATAAAAAAAACTTAATTTTTTAAATAAAATTTTAAATTCAAAATTTTTAAATAATAAAATAAAAATTAAGAGAATTTTTTTTCTTGAAATCCAATATAATGGTTAGATATAAAAAAGTTAGTAAGCATTCTTGCTTCTTATGGAGTTCGAGTTCTAAACTTGATTTTTCATAAATAAGTACTAAGTTAACATTATATTTTTTTAAAGAAAAAATAAGTAAAAACAAAATCTTAAATTATTGTCCCAATAAATATAGATATATTAACTCTTTACCACGCTCTTGAATTTTCCACTCGCAGGCTCGTCTTCGATTATTTGAGACACTTGATCAGAAAGGCACTCCCACAAATTTCAAGAGGACTCTGAGGGGTTCTGAGTAATCTTCGTTAGAATACGCTGCTTACGTTCTCTTGTTTGATTCATTCATTAGTGATCACTGCAATTCAAAATAGTTATCGGTGGTACAACCTTATTAAAGACTAAGATATTAACTCTTAACACTAAATCATTATCATGTAAAAAAAAAGGAATGCGCCGCCTACGAAATACGAAACTCCTAGAACACCCTTGTCTTCTTCCCTCATTTACCTGACACCAACACGTGTCATCCGGTGATTCCACCAGAAAACACAGGGCCGATCCATTCCCACCATCCAGCACTCCCCATTCAGGATTACCAATTTATTATTTCTTTGACGTGGAAAATTCTATGTTTTCCGAATTTCTTTTCCTTTTTGTCAATAATAATAGTAAGAGATAGTAATAAACAAACTGGGAAGCCTCTTCGGGGAATCTCATTCTCAACGACGTTGGATTCTTACGACTCTACTTGCATTATTACAGAAACCTTGGATATTCAAGCAGATTGATTGATCCTTCTGGGTTTTTAATAATCGTGTAAGTCTGAATTCGAGGGGAAGTATTTTCTGTCCGAAAAATGGAATGAAATTCGATTTTTTTTTTTTTTTAAATATCAGATTCTGATTTCGCAGTGCCGTTTTTTCTGTTCTTCGTTCATCTTCTTCTTTTTCTGGAAAGATTGTTTTTTCTTTCCCCTTTTTTGTTGTAGTAATCCATATTGGATGCTTGTGGCATTCTTTTGAGTGGGATTTTTATGTTGGGTGTGGAATGTTTCTTCTCTTAATCGTTAATTTTCTTTCCAAACAAACGGAGCATTGTTAATTTGTTAGGGTTCAATTTCTTCCTCGCAATGGTATTGATTTCATAATTTTTTATGGCTTGTGATCATGGAAACTGGAAAGTGTTTTTTTTTTTTTTTTTAAGATTTGTTTAATTGAATTTTATCTTCACTGTAGATATTAAGAAAGCTAAGGATCATTATCAACTGAAGAAAGAAGAAGAATTTGGCCATTTTTTTGTTCTGGGCATTTTATGGATTTGTTGGATTCTATCTTCATTAGAAAGGGAGAATCTAATAAGGATCTTCTTAATTTGTCTTCCATTTTGTGAGGTACTTGTCAGCTTGACAAATGAATGTGGTTGGCAAAGTTGGGAGTCTAATTACCACTGTTACTACCCCTTTTCATCCATTTGGTGGGGCAATCGATGTGATTGTTGTTAGGCAGCAAGATGGGACATTTCGGAGCACACCTTGGCATGTTCGGTTTGGGAAGTTTCAGGGTGTTCTAAAAGGGGCAGAGAAGTTTGTCCGCATACAAGTCAATGGCCTGGAAGTTGGTTTCCATATGTATCTTGATGATTCTGGAGAAACATATTTTGAAAGGGAGGTTGATTTTGGTTTAGGAAATGAGACAGATGGGGTTACACGAGGTTCTGAGGGTGGGCAAGTTATGCATGAAATCAGAATAAGAGCAATGCTGATGTTTGTATACTTGAACATAGCATCTCAGATTCTGGGGTTGCTCAGTTGCACGATGGATGTGAGTCCTCAAGTGCAATATGTCTTGAGAGATCAGAGTCTGATACCGGGTTCTATGACTTTCAAGATGAGCAGTTCTCCATGGAGGGTTCACTTAGTTTGTCGGAATATGGTTCTAATCGAATGACAATGAACATGTTGGGGAAGCACAAGTTTCAGATTCTGAAGTAGTTTTGCTGAGTGTTGATGGTCATGTATTGATGGCACCTGTCTCAGCATCAGAACAGAATGCTGAAAATGTGCAATTTAGCATGCCTCAGTTCCATCTGGGACCAGGCAAAGGAACTGGCTATTGTGAGGGCAACAAGGAGTTTAGTTCAGGTGACAATAAGTGGGCTGCTGATTATATTAGTAAGTTCAATTCTGCTACAACTAATGATGAAATCAGTCAAGTTTGCAGCATGAATCATGTTCCAAATGCTTTAAGTCATGAGCTGAATGTTTGCGAAGGAGAGGAGGAACATGCTTGTCAAACTCAACAAGATTCTCCAAGCATTGCTAACCAGGCTACTAATCTTGATAGTCATGTTGATGCTGAAGATGCATTGGCTATTAATAAGAATGGCAATATTGTTCAGAGCTGCTTGGAACCACTGGAATTGGCCAACGACGGTGAAAATACCAATGTTGAAGAAAAAGTTAGCACTTTGGAAGGCCAGAGTTCAGAAGAAAAGCCCCCTCATAGTCAGCCAGATGTTGATGAAAGTCAGGATGGGGCTATTTCTCAATCAAGAATTAACGAGGGATTTTCTCCTCCCAATACTTCTGATTCCCCCGGCAATAATAGGTCTTCCGATTTGCAGGATGTGGTGGCACCAACTTAAAGGAAAGTGTTAGATACAAATACTGGGTCTGACTCCATTTCTATTCATTCTTTTTTTAATGACCCTGATTGCAAGGGCAAACGGCTTAGTTTGTCAGCAGAGATGGAAGAGATGGATGTTCATGTAGAGGGACCCACACCTGAGGATGACGGCAGCAGAAGTGAGATTGTGGAAACTAAAAAAATTTCTATCAAGGAGATGCAAACTTATTCAAGCATGAGTACCAACCTTTCCTGCCTTGAATTTTTAATATTCTCCATTTTACTATTATTATTATTAATTTGAATGAATATTTTTCTCTTTCATCTTAAATTTGCAGGATTTGACATCTCACTGTGTGGAAATGAGCTGCATGCTGGTATGGGATTGAAAGCTGCTGCGGAGGTCTTTGACGCACATCACATATCAATGGAAGAATATAAAGATTCTGCAGTTTCAGTTACTATTGATAGAAACCTAGTTTTCAGATTTGGAGAGAGGTACTTGACATGGGACAAAGCTGCCCCTATTGTACTTGGGATAGCTGCATTTGGTCTAGATTTACCTATTGAACCCAAAGATGCAATCCCTGTGGAACAGGTTGTGACACCAAACTCCAAGGAAGATGATTCTGTTGGCACATCCTCTTCCTCTAGCCACAGGTGGAGGCTCTGGCTCATTCCATTTAGAAGGGCCAAAACCCTTGTGCACAATAACGGTACTTCATCTAGTGAGGGGATATTTGTTGATAATGAATCTAGTTTACAGAACTATCACTTGGAATCAGGTCCAGTTTCTAATGGAAGAATTGAGACTCCTCGCAAGCAATTTATTAGAACATATGTTCCCACCAGTGATCAGATAGCATCTTTAAATCTGAAAGATGGTCAAAATATTGTGACTTTCAGCTTCTCTACCAGGATTCTGGGTACACAACAGGTATGTTTGTTGCCTAGTATTCAAATCTTCCATCATCTATATGAGATTTATTTTGCCAATTTTTATCCACTAAATCATGTTCATCTCTAAAAGGTTGATGCTCATATTTACTCATGGAAGTGGGATGACAGGATTGTGATTTCGGATGTTGATGGAACAATTACCAAGTAAGGGTTCTAATAATTTCATGGTTAGGATTGTATTATATGATTAATGTGTGCTGCTTGTTTAAGCCATGGATCTGTGCGTTTTAAATATGTAAGCTGTTAACCAAACAATTTTATGTTCATATATTTTTCAGCAACTGACAGCCTGGTCTCTTTCAGGTCTGATGTTCTTGGTCAGTTCATGCCTTTAGTTGGAAGAGATTGGTCACAGTCAGGTGTAGCTGCACTTTTCTCAGCAATTAAGGTACACCTTTTCTCTAATGTTTCTGATAATATTGTTAAGTAAGCAACCTCCATTAGTTTTTAAAGCTCTGCTAATGTTGTGTATTTTGTGTATTTGTATGAGTTTGTTGTTGCCTTCCTCGCACCTGATGTTCCAGTGTTATGCATTTTGTTAATTATTGAATTAAGTAACCTAATCTGAAATGCATGTTGTATTTTCACAAATGAACCTGCATTTTTGATATTTTGATTAAAGTATTAGAGCATTTGCCACAGGAGAATGGGTATCAGCTACTTTTTCTGAGTGCACGTGCTATTGTTCAAGCATATCTGACCAGGAATTTTCTGTTCAACTTGAAACAGGTATGAGAATGACCTTGGTTATACTGTTCTCATGTATTTATCTCTACATTAGGTTTCTTGGGCTTTTTACATTTTTTTTGAAGCTATAACATTTTGAACTTGTTGAAATGACATTTTACATTTTCTTGCTGATTGAAATGGTTCAACTGAATTTATTAGATTTTGACTTTGTCACACAATCATGCAACATTCTGGTTTTACTAATGGTCCGGTTCTTATTTCACCTGATGGATTATTCCCCTCACTATACCGTGAAGGTGAGATTTAATGCTTGGGGCATCCTGATTTTCTTATGTTGTCATTCTCAGTGTACATTTTGACCCTTGAAATTCTGTATTATTTTATCAGAGACCCTTTCAAATGATAAAAAAACTACTATATTTTGATCCCATATCCTCCACAGTCTCTCTTTCCTTCTATTTAGTAGTTCAACTTAGTGATTCATTCTTTTTTTTCCACCTTTCTTGATGGCAGTGATAAGAAGAGCACCACATGAATTCAAAATAGCATGTTTAGAGGTAAATTTCAAAACAAATCTCGTTGCTTTCAATTCTATTTTTTTACATCTTACAGACTTATAAGGTTTATGTATTGCAGGATATTAAAAGTCTCTTCCCTCCTGATTACAATCCATTCTATGCGGGCTTTGCTAACAGAGACACAGATGAGCTCAGTTACAGGAAGATTGGGATCCCAAAGGGCAAGATATTCATAATTAACCCTAAGGCACTTTCTTTGTGGTTATTAGTTCATGTCCTACATCCCATCTCCAGATTGGAAAATCATCTAAGAATTTGACTTAACCTGGCAGGGTGAGGTTGCCATTAGTCAGCATCGCATTGATGCAAAGTCATACACATCATTACATACTCTCGTTAATGACATGTTTCCCCCAACCTCAATGGTTGAGCAGGTAAGAAATAGTGTGATTGTCTCCCTCACCTTTTAACCTGAAGAAGAACTGAAAATGGAAATATGATCTGATTCTCTGAAACTAATGCTGTCTGTGCAGGAAGACTTTTAACTCATGGAATTTTTGGAAAATGTCATTGCCGGATGTTGATTTATAGAGTTGGTGGCCATTAACAACATTCTTTGTTTTAGCCAACAAGATGATGGCTGCTTTAGGTAAATAGATAGATATCATTGCCATTCTTTTCCACTATAACATTTCTTACACACTCATTTGTCTTTTTTTTTTTTTCTTTTCTTCCCATCATATGGTTTGTAACTGTAAATCTGTAAGCATTCATCTTGTCCTGGATAATTCAAGTGAATGGAAAAAAAAATTTTAAATAAAAATAAACTCATTACTTTCAAGAGTTGTCATTGCTTCCCTCAGCTTCTTGTCCCTTGGACACAATCATTTATTTATTTATTTAATGTATTTTATAGGTTGTGTGGACTTTGGACTAAATAAAAGCTAAAAGCTTTGGGGTTTTGCCTTTTTGGAAAAACCCCATAAAACCCCTAGAGGTTAGAGCCATGATAACTGTAAATCCCTTTCCCTTTTCTTTTCAAGGTGAAGAAATGGACAAATCCTTGTTTTAAAACTAACAATCAGTCCCTCCATGAATTATTGGAGCTCATGTATGTTGTTTTTTGAGGTCAATAGCCCTAGTTACAGTTCATACAATGGAAATAATTAATGTTTTTTATAACATAAATGGAAATTAGTTAAAATTATGATGATTACATAACTGAAAAGGTTTTATATATTAATTATATAGATATCTTTTTTTTTTTTTGAACATTTTGGTAAGGAGCGGGTTCAAAACCTGCCCAGAAGGAAGGGGGAATGCACCGACTAACTGGTTAATGCCGGTGAGCCTCTAGGGCTAGGTGCATATATATATCTTATTTAATATTTTTAACAACTTAGAAAATACTCATTCGAAAGCTTTTGCATCTTATGTTTTAATAATTTTACACTTTAACATCTAAAATATCAAAAATTTTAAGATATAACTTTCTCATTGGCTTGAACCATGACTAACTAAATCACACCATGATATAACAACATTTTCCCTTGGGTAAAAAAATTTTGGCATAATTTGACCAAGTCAAATGCAGCATCCATAGCCATAGGTTGATGGCCCATGCTAGTTCTTGGAGAAAATAAAATAAGGTTAGATTTTATTAAAATTTAAAAGGGTTAGAGGTTAGAGACTTGGAATTTATTAATAACTTAATTAATGACTTATGGGAGTTCAAAAAACCAAGTTTTGAGAAATGTGCTGCTTCTTTTGAAAATTTGAAGTCTGTTGCAGAGAAGTTTGTGGATGTTGCAGGTGCAGCAAAGCAACAGATCTGCTGTTATATTGTATTTGTCTACATTCTACCACATTAGAATTTCTTTCTCCAACTGGTATTTTGATCTTATTCGCCTTAGTTAAATGATTAAAAAAGGAGCTAGATTTCGAAAGATTTCGTGTTCAAATTCTAGCGCCACAAATCATTGAATATCAAAAAAAAAAGAAAGAATCTCTTAATTACCATTTCACAAATGCACCCTTTTGTGGTTTAAAGTGGAGGGTTTGGTTATGTATTCGCTAGAGGAGAGATATGTATTCACAATTCCATAAAAACGAAGAATGAGTTTTTGGTTTTGTATTTCGACAGTAAAATAGTAGATATTGAATGGAGGAGAATGCCGAAGAATAGGAGGTTTGTTTTTTTTAATAAGTTGAGTTGTGTAATTTGAAATATTTAAATTACATATTATTTTTAAAAAATTAATTATTTTTTTATTTAAAGTAATGTAAATATCAATTTAAACTGAAAATAACATTTTTATTGCTATTAGAAAACAAAGTCACACTATTGGCAAAAGTGTCATTTTTAGGCCAAACTAATATTTTTTAATCAATCCGAATTGAAAATACCTTTTCTTATTTTGGAAATGGATAGATTACGCATATCATGATTTCAAATAAGATTCCAATATTCTATCCAAGTTTTTAATCTGGTTCTGCTTTTACATTCATTTTTCTCAACAGTACTGTCGAGTGTGGAAGAAGAGAATGGTTTTTTTTGTTTTGCTAGTACTTGCAACAAGAGGAACTGTCACCATCTCTCTCTGTAGTGGAAGATACTCACTTTCTGTACAAAAAAACATTTCACGTTCAAAGTAGTAACATTAACATCCCTGCCTATGTGTCATCCACTCATATGCATAATGCAGACATAATTTGCGTTCCTTTTGATCCTTTCTAAAACAAAAATTTTGAATTCAAAAGAAACCCTAAATTATTACCATGAATTGAATGTGCAATACATAGTTATAAAGGGAAAGGGGTAAATGAAATAAAGAACAATGTGATCCAAACAAGGGAAATCGTATGCAAAAGGAAAAGGGAAAAATGCAAAACACATAATCCACAAAATGGGACAAGCAGAAGCTGTTCAAGACTCAGGAGTGGGAAAAATTAAGTGTTTTCCTGCATTTTATTGTTTGGAATTTGGAACCATTCAAAACATTACAGGAGGAGATAGGCCAAAAGAGAAAAAAAAAAAAAAAATGGGAGGAAAAAAAGAAAGAGAAAAGATTCTGACAGCTCCTTTCAATAATGATTTTACTTCTCTAACTTGGTTCCATCTTCACTTTAAAATGATGCTCTGCCTTTCTCATTCTTCAGTCTTCACTAAGCTCAACTTTCCAAAAGCATCTTCACAGAGAAAGGGAGAGAAGCTCACATAAAATGGCTACAACTATAAGCCAAGCTTCAAGTAATCATGCAGATGAAGAAGACTATGTTGATATGGAGGTAAGTTCATCCTCCAAGTTCTTGTGTTACTCCCTTAGCTCTCCACCTCGAAGTATGGAGTTTGAGTTCCAAATGTGTTCAGTTTCTCTTGATGGAGGGCTTACCACTTCTCCAGCAGATGAGCTCTTCTACAAGGGGAAGCTCCTTCCCCTCCACCTGCCTCCTAGGCTGCAAATGGTTCAGAAGCTCCTCCAGAGCTCCAACACTGCATTTGACACCAAAACTGAGGAACAATTAGAAGAAAGCTGTTCCACTCCTTTCATGATTGCTGGCTCTGCTACCCCATCTACAAATACCAGTACCCCATTGGAATCCTGCAGCATCTCCCCATCAGCGTCTTGCAGGGTGAGCAGTGAATTAAACCCGGATGAGTATTTCTTTGAATGGTCCACAGAAATGAGTGATTTCATTGGTGATAATTCAAAGAAATCATGGGGAACGAGAATCAAGCAGATCAAACAGTCCTCCTTAGGTCAGAAGCTCAAGGCTTCCCGGGCGTATATTAGGTCCTTGTTCAGTAAGTCCGCCTGTTCAGATGAGTCATGTGCCAGGGCAGCAAGCAGCGCAGAAGCAGAAAATGTTTTGAAAATCAAAGATTGCTTAAACAAGTACACGAAAGCGGGGAAGAAAAACCCATTTGGAAGAATTGATAATGAGAGATACAAGATACCAACTTCTGTCTCTAAGAGCATGGACAGAGAGATGATTGAGGATGGAGTTGCTAATAGCCACAGGAGGTCTTTCTCAGGGGCAATTCAGCGGCATTCTGCATCAAAATATTCATCTACATCTACATCTTCCTCTGGTTCATCTTCTTCATCATCCTCTTTTTCATTTAGTTCAAATGGGTTCTATGAATTACAGTTTCTGAAAAGGAGTTGTAGTGCAAATTCAGAGCTTGAAAGTTCAATTGAGGGGGCAATTGCTCACTGTAAGCAGTCTCAACAGATGTCCAGTTCAAGAAAGACTGTAAGTGTTCCTGGGGTCTGCTCCCTTTCTGCCTCCAGGATTGTAGTCAGTGGGGGGACCAAAAGAGGCCTGGACTTTGCAGCTTGTGACTATGATGCTTTGGAAAAAGTAGGAGAAAAAGAAAGCTTGAATGTATGATGGTAACCCATTCCTGTTACATTCTTCAGAGCAAAAGCAAGTGTCGTTTTAATGCAGGTGGAGAGCCCTCTAGTCCCTTATTGTTCAATAAAAAGTAAAATTTATTTGTGATTCTTCCTTTTTGTACTTGCTCAAATTGAGATGAATTCAACATCATCTCTTTGCTCGAATTCTTCTATGTTCACTGTTGTTATTTCAATTCCCTTTTCTTTTGTGGTTCTACTTAATTTTACTCTGTTGATGCAAGTTTTTACTAGTCAATTTTCTGTCAACGAAAATGAAGAATAAAACAGTTTGTGGTTTTTTTGTGGCCATCAGATAGGAAGAGCCCACCGGTCCCACCCCATCTCATGGTGCTCCAACCGCACAATAATTTTTGATATTATTTTTTTATTAAAAAAGTGTTTTTCAAGTCTAAATGCAGATTAAAACTACATTCTGAACACTAAAATTAGTAAATTACCTTAAATAAAACACTTCATTATATTTATTTTTTAATAATAATTTAGTAATTTTTGACACCATACTACCATAAAAGTCTTTCTTGATAGTATAAACAATTTTTTTGATTCTATTAGTTCCCTTCCCTCCAAGCAACCTTTTCCAGTAAAGTCATGGCCAGAACTTTTCATCTTTGGTTTCTGTAAAAACTAGGTATGGGCTCTAGTAAGATGCTTTTTTCATGAGCTAGGTGGTTCTTATGACTTTTTCAGGCTTTTACCCATGAGAATGCTGTTTTAGACGTACTGAACTTCATTTTTCTGTTTACTTATTCCCATTTTTTAGAAAGAAAAGTGCAGGAGATATTATCGCACTTTGTGCAGAAAAATGAAGAATTCCATCTTTCTATTCAGTAAAGCCACCAAAGACAAAGTACATTGTACATTGATGAAAATGATTTATTGACCAAAATAAACTTCCAATTAACCATTCTATAGATTATTACAATTTCACCTTACCTGAACAGGGTGCAGAAGAAAGAGAACCTAAAATCTTAAGTTAAGAGAATAGATTAACAGTTAAAGATTTGATACCTTAAAATCTTGATTGTTGGAATCAACAAATGCCTTGTTCAGAGCAAGCATGATTATCCCACTCCACTACAGCATGGACTGCTGCAAGTTACAACGACTAAGTCAGTAAAAAGGGGCATTATATTATTGGATTTATAATGATTGTGATCACTTGGAATGTCTCAAAGTATCAGCCAAAGCTTTAAACCCAAGCTCAAACAAAATCAAAGATCTCATGCATCTTGTAGGTATTTTTTTCATGATTTTGACCAAACACTGGACTCAACAAAAACATGCATGCTACATTTTTGACAAATTGGTCAGAAAATAATTGAAATGGCATAATAGCTAATTAGAAAAATGATGTACTGTCTGCACAATAACTAATCAAAAAAGTTATAAGCAGTCTACTTGTGCGGTTGCATATCTTATAACCATTGATGAGTGGCAAGCCTCTCATATTTGGGTGGTCCCCCTCCATCAATGGTTATAAATATGCAGTCCATGCCGGGTGGACTGCAAAACAGCTATCTCATAACTAATAGATTGAATATTTTCACTTGGATTATCACTCCATCAGGCAAGTATATGTTGAGAAGCAACTCACTTCTCAACTGGTTGGTATCAAGATTGTCTATTAGGGGACAGATTCAAAAGAAGAAAACAGCACACTACTAAACATGCTAAATCTAGTGTTGTCCAATTTGCAGAAAGGACTTAACAAAAAGGGCAGAAAAAGGGGAAGGAAAAAAAAAAAAAAAAAACTGTATACTTGTTAGCTGAGAATCTCATGAAATAACAGTAAAAGTACCACAGATTTTACCTGAATCATGTCGAGAGTACCATGAAGGACTGACTGTATTTGGAGTGATTGAGTTCCCACCTTCCAACAATTCTAAGTTTTTGTCCCCCTTTATCAGCAATATATTATAAAGAATCAAAGAAAAAAGGAAAAAGAACACACACACACGATTTACTGATCTAAACAATCAAGAAAACACAGGTTGCATATCTTTAAGGATATGTGTGGCATTGCTCAGTCAGCTAGTTAAGCTTGTGAAAAATGTCAATAGAGATTCAGGGCATCCATATCAGCCACTAAAGAATGAACATATATTCATATATCAAAAAAATATATCTATATATATATATATATATATATATCTGTGTCTGATTTATCATCTTGTTCGACTTGATTCTGATGCATCGCATGCATTGTTAGCAATGAACATCTACATAACAGACAATGTGAAAAGAAAAGTGACATTTTGGGAAGAGAAAAAGGATTAAAATAATTGGCTAATTAGATTTTCCTCAATTGAACTTGAGAAAAAGGTTTTACATTTCTGCAGTTCACAATCTCTACAAGCTTCATATTGGCGAAAAATTGCAAATTACTTTCTTTCAATGAGAAGAAATATCCTGAAACTATGTTACAGTCAGGTATATGTTACAAGGTGGCGAATTATATAGACAGGACCAAACAAACGCAGAAAGCATGTGTGGCATATCAAAACTCAAACTGCATAGAGTTTCTCGCTGTTCATAATCTCTGTATCTGACATAAATAACACTGACACTGATGCTGACCGTGACCTACTACTCCTTGACAATCTTTGAATGCTCTGAAATTTTGAAGCCTTACGGTCCATAATCACCCAATAACACAATGTTCCCAGTGTTGATACCATGATCCCTGTACCTACAATTGTTAGAATGATAGCCAGCCACTTTCCATTCTCTC